AGTCTTGAGCTTAGACTCAGCAAAGAAACTAAGGTATGTTGGTGTCATGCTGAATGAAATGCACATCAAATTTTCAACTCCTGGCTGTCCTGTACAGTATCACACAAAGAGTTGCAGATCAAAGGTAAAACATTTTTTTCCTGAGGCGAGTCCTCAGGGGAAGAGACCCTTCCGTTCCCCTCCCTTTGAGAGCGCAAGCTCCATGCCAATCTCGCTCTCTCAGGCTTATGTTTCACATCTCAACCCTTTATCTAGCCTGCAATATTTTTGACAGCACTGCAGTTTTACCCGTGTTCTCTTCTACGGAATCCTAGCGTGATGCTATGAATTAAACCCCGTTTAATCAGGGCCTTTGTTTGACCCGAAGATTACAGGTGCAGCATCGTTGTCATGCAAGATTAATAGCGGGGAACTGATTGGCATGAATGTCCTGCTGTAAATTCTTTTCATCTTGGTATTTTGCACAGCATGCATAATGCAGCGATTAATTACAGCCCCTGCATCCAATCCAGTCACAGCATCTCCAGATCACAGATCAGTGGCATTTAATGATAATGGGAGAAAACATCAAAGACACATACAGTGAAGGGGAGCTAGGATGGACAGTTTGCTTCCATGGTATTGAGCTGAAACCAAAAGAAAACAATGAAAAATTGCATAATGAACATTCAGATTGATACATTATTATAATCAATTACAGGTTTTTCGATTTTGATTGTTTTACACCAGGGCTAGCGATTGCATTGATATAATATAATATAATATAATATAATATAATATAATATAATATAATATAATATAATATAATATAATATAATATAATATAATATAATATAATATAATATAATATAATATAATATAATATAATATAATATAATATAATATAATATAATATAATATAATATAATATAATATAATATAATATAATATAATATAATATAATATACTTCCAAATCACAGTGATATTTCTATCAATTGGAAACTAAATGGTCAATTATACTGTACTGTAAATACAGTAAACTGTATTTAATACCGCACAGAGGCATTGACTAAGGAACTGTGGCAGGAACAAAACAAAAAGACTGAGTCAGCAGAGGAACTAGGATGCTGGTGTCATGCTGAATGAAATGCACATCTAATTTTCAACTCCTGGCTGTCCTGTACAGTATCACACGAAGAGTTAGAGATCAAAGGGAAACATGTTCTCCCGAGGCGAGTCCTCAGGGGAAGGGACCCTTCCGTTCTCCTCACTCTGAGAGCGCAAGCTCCGTGCCAATCTCGCTTTCTCAGGCTTATGTTTCACAACTCAACCCTTTATCTAGCCTGCAATATTTTTGACAGCTCTGCAGTTTTACCTGTGTTCTCTTCTTCGGAATCCTAGCGTGACACTATGAATTAAACCCATTTAATCATGGCCTTTGTTTTGGCCCGAAGATTACAGGTGCAGCATCGTTGTCATGCAAGATTAATAGCGGGGAACTGATTGGCATGAATGTCCTGCTGTAAATTCTTTTCATCTTGGTATTTTGCACAGCATGCATAATGCAGCGATTAATTACAGCCCCTGCATCCAATCCAGTCACAGCATCTCCAGATCACAGATCAGTGGCATTTAATGATAATGGGAGAAAACATCAAAGACACATACAGTGAAGGGGAGCTAGGATGGACAGTTTGCTTCCATGGTATTGAGCTGAAACCAAAAGAAAACAATGAAAAATTGCATAATGAACATTCAGATTGATGCATATTAGAATCAATTACAGATTTTCAAATTTGGTTGTTCAACACTAATAATATAATATAATATAATATAATATAATATAATATAATGAACTGAAACCAAAAGAATGACATAATGCATGATGAACATTCAAATTGATGTACATTATTATCGAGTATAGGCTTTGAATTTTTATTTTTAAATTGTTTGATACTAGGGCTTGTAAAAGTTGTGGTTAAAAACAAGTGTAAAATCCATACACTACTAAAATTAATGTCCAAAAATCCAGTTCTAAGCTATGCTTTGATCAAGCATAAATAAATAAATCTTTTTTCCCAATTTTTTTTTTTATGTTTTTTTTTTTTTACATAATGACAAATTCAAATTAATCTCTTTAATACAGCTGTAGTATTAAACAAATAAAATTAATTGTGCATATAAATGGGACAAATACATCAAATACGAGATTTGATGTGCGGTTCAGTAAATAATGACATTATCAATTATTGGTGAACTATTCCTTTAATAACTTGTCATTATGAGGAAGAAGCATGTGTTTCTAGGAACTGCTTAGCCTTTATGTCAAGAATTTGCAGACAGAATTGATTTTAAAAATGTTAAATTGAAACAAAAAAGTGAATTAGTAGCTTGCAATTTCCTTTGGAGACCCGAATTACAAATCAATATGTGCGGCAGGAAATTAACCAAGGAAAAGCCGCTTTTCAACAGCAGTAGTACATCATGTTATATGATTTGAATTAAAATAGTGGTGATATCTGAATAAGGAGGGAGTTGAACGTCGATGAACCGGAGGTGTGTTGGCATTTCTATTAGTTTGAACTCATCCGCATGCTAAAGGCAGCCAAGCATGGATTTCTGCAAGACAGCCGCAGGTGTGTTATTGTGCTGAGAGAGGAGCCGTCAATCAAGACCATAGCAGTCACTCATGATGGGAAGGGTGGTGACACATTTAAAATGAAGAGTCACACTGAACATATTATGGAACTTGAAATGTCATCACTCATTTCTGTCAATGGCTCTACGGTTGGCTGACCCGCAGCGGGGTTAACAGCAGATGAAAATCTCCAGAGATTCTGAAACACGCTTTTAAAATGGTTTGATATTGTTTTATGATTTTTCATGCATTGATTTATGATTCTAATTCAATAAAAAGCTCCAAAATGCCAAAATATCCAGACTGAAAATATAATTCAAAATAAAATCTGAAAATAAACATTTTCAATATATTTTAAGAAATATTTAAGATTCAACACTATTCCTAGATCACTTTAATTTGCTTAATTTAATGTAAATGTATAATGACTTAGATATGAATAATAATAATATTGTTTAAAATATATAACAAGCATAAATGAGAATTCAAATTCACAAATTGAAATTTAAATATTCACAAACTGAAATCGTATAATATATAATATAATAAAATATAATATACAATTCATAACTTGCACATTAATGCAAATTCAAATTCCTAACCATAATAATAATAATGTTTAAATATATAATATATAACTTGTGCATAAATGAGAATTCAAATTCTTAACCCCTAACCCAAATTGTAATAATAATAATAATAATAATAATAATATTACTACATAAGAAAAATGCTAATTAGAAACACATTCAGTGGCTACTGAGCCCAAAGGTGTTAATATTTGAAATAACTTTCTTTTTTTTTTTTTCTTTTAGTTTTGTCAAATGTTTTTTAGTGAAAACAGGTTACATGTGAACACACACACACATATTTTTCTTTGACTAATAAGTGAAAAGCTATCACATAATTATTGCAACCTCTGAGAGATGAGATGAATAATTTCTTGTGGATATTCTGCCAACAACATGTTCCTCATTTTTCCCCAGAAGTCTTCAGGTCAGCAAAAACAGGAACAAAATCACTCTATTAAGATGAAGAGTGAGGCAAACATGCCGCCGTTGTAAAGAGCCAAAGCACAAGTGTCTGATTTTTTAAAGCGTAATGAGGTCATTTTCAGTACAAACCATGTCCCTGTTGTGCTCTTAAGCTGCATAGTGGTGCCGTTGCAGTAGTTATTATAGCACATCCTGCTCCCATCAAAATCTCTTACTGCTTCCACACAAGGTCCATATTCACCCCAAGTGCACTTAGAGACACTTCATATAAACTTTATCCTGACTGTCTGCAATTAAGAGCAGTACACTCGTAACTTTCACGCCAGGCTGCAACGACTAAACCCCAGAGATGCTGACAGTTTTAAAAAAATCTCTTTGAAATATTTCTCGAGAGTGGATTAATGTCTACATGAAATCAAAATTCACCCCATTTACATTCTCAATTCACATTCCTTATTATGCATGCATTATCAGCCACATTATTCCAAAGAACAATTAACAGCACACTCGCTGTGAGAAATACTGCAAGCGGAGTGATACAAATGGTGAAACGGTTGGAGTGCAGTTATCACTAGAATATCACACCACCCATATATATATATATATATACTGTATATATATATATATATATATATATATATGTGTTCCAGTGAGGCACTTACAATGGAAGTGAAATTTTGTGGAAGATACATATTTCAATAATACAAAAAATTGCAGTAAAAAAAAAAAAAAGCATCAATATTCAACTGATTTGAATGTGGTAAATTCACTTTCTAATCCTTTCTGTTATAGAGTTGTATGTTAAGATACAAAAAAATTGTAGAATAATGTTGATCACCACAAAAATCAATTTCCACTTGTCCCTCCTTTTCTTTAACAATAAATAAATACATACATACATAAACAGATAAATAAAAAAAAGAATACAATGGAAGTAAACGGAATATTAAAATATGCACCATTTCAATAGTACAGCCGCAAACCGTAAAAAAAAAATCTATATGCATTTGATTTAAGTGTGAGAAAATCACTTTCTAAGCTTTTCTATGTAAAGTTATACCAAATTTGATCTTCATCGCCATAACGTAACAGCATAAACCCTACAATGGCTATACAGCTCAAATAATACACAAGGTTTGACAGAAAATGGCTTTAAGTGCTTTTATAAATTAAAAGCTTCACATTTTAGTTTTTAAATCCTCCAAAATTGTCCCCTTGTACTTCCAGTGTAAATGCCTCACTGTAACCTCCAGATTTTTTTTAAGAAATGAGAAATTTGTCACAAATGCTGTCATTTCAGCTTAACTGGTAATCTGTAAGTCCTGTTGATGTAGGTATGGAGGTGCAATGCTTTGTGTTTACTGCCGCAGAAGGCAAAGATGTTCACCTGGAAGTCATGGTGCAGCTCAGGGCAGAGACGCACATATTGACCCAGCTGCTCTAGGGGCCGGTCTGGCTCTGGTCGGGGACGCAGCTTGTTCACATCTGTTTCCAGGTCATCCTCCTGCCATGGAGAAACACAGAGCTATAAACACTGTTCACTCTTAAGCTTGACTGACTGCAGACTGAAACATATCTATCTTCCCCTGTCACTGCATGTGAGGACCAGAGGTCATGTGACAAGCTCCAGCCAATAGAATGCAGCAGGCTCTGACCTCTGACCTTCACTCTGTCTATCTTTATGGCAAGTGGTTCAAGCAGCAGACAAACAGCAATTACACACCTTATTTGCCAGGTGAGGCACATGTAAGCGGTCACCCCTCCAGCTGTGGTGTAAATGTCACTCTCGCACATACATACAAACAAAATGATTTTTGCGGTTCTCTTCTGTGCCACTAGGAAACAGAAATCAGGTAGTGACCCTATTAAGCCCACCCAAAAATGAATGAATGAATGAATGAATGAATGTTCATGGTTTTTAAAGATATCTGAATAAATTTCCAATAAAGTGGGTATTAAATCAAAGAATAATCTCTCATCTAAACACTTATGTTTTGACAATTGCATGTGTCCATTTAAACCTAGCTATTTTATAAATATGCTCATAATAACATTTTATTAAATATATATATATATATATATATATATATATATATATATATCTGTTGTCTC